TACTTTTTGGTGATTTTCTTTTCCTATCGGATCTAAAATTACTGTATCTATCGATATATAATACATTACTACTACTACTAACACCTAACCAAGTTTCTTGTAAACATAAAATGTCAAATCTTTTCAAAATTGATAAAAAATCAACTTCTTCAGTCTTGTCACCTAACCCATGAATGTTCCAACTACCAACTGTAAGATTGGAACTGCCAATTGGTAGATTTTTTATTTTCATGCTGATTGTGAATACATAGGGTTGTAGGCCGAAACACAAAACAAATAAATTAGCATAACATTTTTTTTTTTTTTGTAAATGTATGTCATAGACATAATCACTACTAATACCATACCAGAATTTTATGTACTTTGAATGTTACTGATACATGTATAAAATAAATTTAGGTTTTTCTGCTACTTTAGCTGTTTCAATAATGCGCAACAACAATTCGTATACAGCATTGGTTTTATTGAAGTTTTTAATGCTTTTCGGCTTCACAGTGAATTATTTTAGCGTCATATTTGAAATAGCGCGCTCGATACAAGATGTCGGACGGGAAAATTGGGGTCTGTAAAAATGTTTGTTGGTTCAGTCAGGCAATGTGTGAACCAAAACATCGCCCACTATTTGAAACATCGCCTATGGGCGGGGTTTAGGATGGGCGGGGTATCAGCCGAATCCGGTAGTTATTAATAATGTATTCACCATCACTATATTCAATCATGTTCCAATTATAGTATAACCCAGATGAGGTAAATAGGGGCAGAAAATCACATGTTGCTAGCCTAGTCAGATCATTTGTGTTTGTTTCCAGTATAATTTTGATAAGCTAAAATGGTTATATGATATACTTGTTGATCTTCTCTTCAGTACTGGTAATACACATTATACATGTGTCACTTTATATCTAAATATAAGTTACAATGTGACATAATTTTGTGGTATTGCACTGGATTTCTGCATCCTATCTTATTACTAATTGTGAATTACAAATATGGAATGATCATTATGCAATATTTTTATGATGTTTAAAAAACGAGGTTAGGTTCATAGAGACAAAGTATCACCAATTTCTAGCATCTTGCTTGAAAAGGTTCATACAAACTGTCCTTGCTAGACATTTCATGAAATATACGCATGAACAAAATTTTGTAAAACGTCACTGCAAATTTTTTCACAAGTCAGCTGCTTTTATATCATGAAATACATGAGAATTTTCTACAGATATTAAAACTTCTCACATACTGATAAAACTGTTGTAACTTGAAAAAAAAACTCAAAAAATATAACATGCTAATGTGACTACAGTGAATTGTATTTTATTTATTAGTTTCTATTCTAAGTCAGACAAATGAGTATACATTGGCAAATGTTGTTCCTACTTGTTCTTACTACATATACAACTTATGGAACTAACATGTATCATTTTATTCTTGGATTTGATTTGACATGGCCGACTGGCAGCCATGTTGTTTTGAAAAATGTTGTTCTAGAGCCATACCGCTGACATACATGTATGTATTTAATACATCATGTTATGCGTACACACAATCATTCATTTTGAATAGCCATTGCAGTTGTAACATCAAGGTAAAGTTTGAGTTTGAAACTGGATCTTAGGGTTGCATGAATAGATTTTGTTCAATTTTGGTATATTCATTCATTCATACTTAAATATTTTATACAGTGATTTAAAACTCTGATTTACAAGCTTTAATGAATTACAATTGTTGAATGAAGACTTCCGTGCACATGTCATCATTATCACAGAAATGATGTCGAAACAACCAACTACTGAATAGCAGCTTAAGTTGGAAGGTTGTATCACATATTCAAACTATATAACTAATGGGGACTGTGCCATGCATGCTTGTTTTTCAATAGAATCTTTCAAGTACATCTAGTAAGTTATTTGCCCAAGACTGTACACGAATGTCAATGGAATACTGGCAACAAGCGATGCCCTTTGGTAAAGTATGGAGAAGGAGAAGCAATCAAGGTAGGAGTGTTTTATTTACATATTTGTGAACATTTACCTATGTGCACACACTGCATGGTAAAGATAATAATGGAATGAGATGAAATGACGTGTGGTAATTTGAGCACAATTTAGAGAGGGGGAAGTGTTTCTAAGTATTATTTACTTCCTGCATCTATGAGTCTCTCAGTAAGATCTGCTGCACCATTATCACCATATTTTTAACAACCAGATCTCCAGGACCTGCACGGGTTGTACAGTTTAAGCATAGAATAAGTTTGGATATGGAGAAGGTTTGAGCCAAATTAAAAATTATGTACTGTGGAATACTTTATTTTCGCTGGAATTAATTTTCGCTGAAAAGGCTTTTTGGGCGTTTTGTATGGAACTTATTTTCACTGATTTTTGATGAATTTAATGTGAAATATAGGAAAAAAAGCATATTCACTGGATTTTATTTTCACAGAATCATCCATTCCAAGCGAAAATAAAGTATTCTACAGTATCTTGTTCATCATATTTTCATTACTGTGGGTACATGTCATCAGCATACAAAAAAAATTTGGGGTCGCCCAACGATTTTTCGAGAGTCCAAAATGTCATAGTTTTTATTTCTAATACTCTTATTGATATGAAACCCAATATTTAAACATATAACATTTAAAAAAATGTATAATCTATTCAGTTTTTAGGATGATAATTATAGTTTTCAATTGTATACAGTGGGAAGTTTTCTCCCATAATGCATTGCACATATTGTCATATACAAATTATCAGCTCTCGTATTACAATTCAATATTTCATGCATTTTTTAAATTTGGTTTCATTATTGATGTACACAAAGTACTTTACCACCATGCAGAGAAGGAATATATTCTTGCTTTTCAATTATAAATGTGAACAAACTGAAGTCCAATTCATTATATATCTTGTTTGTTTTTTAAATTTCATATATTTTATTTTTAGTGTTAGTATTTTTAGCTCCGCTGTCGACTTTGTCGAGCGGAGCTTATCATATGAGTGATTGTCCGTCGTCGTCCGTGTCAATGTTTTACTTTTTCGACTTCTTCTTGAAAACTACAAGCCTGAATGCTTTGATACTTGGTGTATATGTACCTTGGGTAGACCTCTCTTAGGTTTGTTCATTTCATGTTGATATCTTCAATTCTCTAATTTTGGTGAATATTTTTGTCATTTTTGGTAAAAAGTGATATTTTCGACTTCTTGTTAAAAACCGCAAGTGCAATTGCTTTGATATTACATATATAGGTACTACATGTGGACCTCTCTCAGATTTGTTTATTTTGTAATGATATCTTTAATTCTCTAATTTTGGTGAATATTTTTGTCATTTTTGGTAAAAAGTGATATTTTCGACTTCTTGTTGAAAACTGTAAGTCCGATTGCTTTGATATTACATATATAGGTACTACATGTGGACCTCTCTCAGATTTGTTCGTTTTGTGATGATATCTTCAATTCTCTAATTAATTTATTTTGGTGAATATTTTTGTAATTTTTTGGTAAAAAGTGATATTTTCGACTTGTTAAAAACTATAAGTCCGATTGCTTTGATACTATTCATATTGTTCATTTTCTAATGATGTCTTCAGTTCTTTAATTGAAATGTGCATTGCTAACAGCGGAGCTATCTCAGCCGATAGGCTGCTTGTTTATTACATATATCTTATTTTATGTTACTTTAATTATTTGCTCTGTGGGGTTTCACAAATATCAAAACTGTGGAAAATAAAATAAATAATACAAAAACTATGAATAATGGATAATTGAATTCTTATTTAAATGGAATAAAAATAAAAGAAGCCCAACTAGGATCTTATTTTAATCAGATTGATTGAACAACTTATTTTTTTCTAGAATCAATTATGTATTGAAAAAATAAAAAAAAGTTAATCATATATATTTTCACTTTAGAATATCCTGCTGAACCTAATGCGTATGTTGAGTCATCGGTCGAAACCATCCTGGAACCTGTTACTGACGGTGTCAGCAAACTTAAAACTGCAGCTCAAATCTCAGCTGTTACATTAGCTGTCGTCGCTATGCTAGAAGCATGGATGAATCATATACTTAAAGAAAAAATTAAGTTTAGGTGAGTTGTTTTATGTTACATGCTGAACCAAATTCAATTTGTACATTCATGGAAACGCAATACTCAGAATGGTCCTCTAGTCATGTGTCTGAAAATACAGCTTCAAATTAGATTTACTCTTTCAAAGATTAGGTAAATATATCAGTATGCTATGACCTGTTGAAATAGCAATAGAACTGAAATTGACATTGTTATCCAGTCTAGACAACCCCTGCCCACAAGTATTAACATCTTTGTTAAAAGCACAACTCCAATAGGAGCACATTTGAGCCTTAGAGCATTTATTATGGTCACATTTTGAGTACAACAAACTCTCATTCATTCATTCATTCATTTATGCTAATCTCTTGTTTATGTAATATATAGTATCCAGTGAAATACATAGAAAGACAGAAAGTAGATTCTTTTTAATCTTGTTATGTTAATTTTACTTCATTTATTGAGTTATCTAGTCTTTATTTGGTGCTCCTTGTTTTGGGATAAATATTGAAAATTGCATTTCATATTTGTTTTTAATTCCCAGTTTATATGGAGCCCACCAATTACATCTTGACTTCAACTACGTTCGTCAGTGGATCTCCTCAGACATGAGTGGTTTGAGCATGGAGACACAGCAAAGTGTTCTCTCTTTAGATATATTCAAACATATGGAGGGGGCTGTACAATTACTGAAGCAGCAGCCACGAAGGAGAACCAAAGTGAGACGTGACCACAAAGATGATTGCTGTGAGTTAAAGTTCACATGTAGGCTGCCTTCTTCTCATTCTTATCTGTCTTATTCTCTAGATGTTGTAATATTCCTTTCTTCAAGGAGACTTGAAGTGCATGTACATACAATTGTTTACTGAAGTGTGATGTTTTGGTGTCTCTCTCATCAAGATAATCATCAAAATTGAAGATAACGCTGCATAAATGTACCTGAGCATGCGTTTTTATATTGTATGACTTCATTGTTCTACTTGTCTCCTTATTATCATTGCTTCAGTTTTAACCTCTGCATTATGCATATGATGTGAATGATTAATTGGAATTGATGATTACATTTTTAATATTATTGAATATTACTGCTAAATGCAAATACCGTACTCGTTCAACTCAGCGCCATGCTCAACTAAGCGCCCATTAATTTTTGAGGCATTTCAGATGACTGGTTCACGTTCGGCTGAGCGCCCATCCCTTCCAAAATGCTTCAAATTTGACTTTTCAGTCATAAAACCTGGTCATTGTGCATTGTTTGACTTTTCTGAATTACCGGCAATCAAATTTATATAATACACCGTGGATATCAACCACCGTGAATATTGTGCGAATGTGTAGACCACGATAACTGTTCGTAAACTACGCTTCAACAGTGATGGTATTCATTCCATTTTCAGTTCACAAATTGCTAATTATCATTTTTTAGAACAAAATCATGCCGTTTTTTGCCAAAATCACTATCGACTAATCGTACTTCGACATTTATATTTCACTTCCACATTGCATTGCCAGAATGCCTTTAGTACAAAACTGCCTGATTGGTTAATAACAGACATGACCCATTAGATCAAAGGACGTTGTTGTAGGTCAAATCGTGTGAGAAAACTTTATAACAGAAATTGCTTTGCATCAAGATTTTTCGTACAATTGAAAATATTCAATGAAGATAAATGATCGTTTTTCCACAGACCCTGGCTAATAATTTTGCACCGTAAATTATTCGAGTGGGATGCTCAATTAATTGCCCAACCTCCTTAAAAAACATGATTTTGTGAGCTAAGTACCCTGGGCTCTAAGTTGAATGAGTGCTGTAATAACTGCTTGCATATTACTATATGCTTTAATAATTCCATTAATATTTTAACCCCTCTCTCTGTGAATCGTCAATTCCAATCGTGTGGTTTAATGAAATGTTGTATTGGTGAACTGTATTCATTGTAATTTAATTGACAATAAATTAAACATTGATATACAGACTGACTTGCCTGGGAAGGCAGGTACATGTATGTCTCAGAGTGATACCCTGTTTCAGAAATAATGTTGATATAGAAATAGTCAATATTCCTATTCTGAATATGCCCAGTTTTTATGAAATACCAGAATATTGAATACCGTAAAATCTGTATTAATAGAATATAATAAAAGTGGCACTCAATCTTTTTGAACAATTGGGAAGCGAAAACTCATCATTTCACATGTGTAGATGCTCTAATCACATTTCCTCCGTTGCATTGTACCATTTCAATAGAAGCCGCAGCTTCTAATACAGATTTTACAATAACACATTTACAGTTTAAAGTAGACCGACCATCTGAGATTATATTTAATTAATATTCTGTAGGTAACTATTGGGTAATTCTTTGTTACAGGTTCAGAGTACAGCACAAGCACTACTGCAACTGAATCCCACCGTAACAGTTTATCAGGCAATTCTCTGCTTTTACCACCAACTGATGGTGTCGGGAGTAGTAGTGATGCCAGTGGTAGTGATGTCTTAGAAGGTACCCTTGATGATGGGGCATACTATGTTCCTCGTCGGGATGAGTGGTTAATGTTGAGAGTTCATACTGGAAATAGATGGAAGATTCCTCTTGGCTGTTTAAATCCTTCACCGAATGACTCTTAAGTCGCGTCCTTGTCATTATGTGAATTGCGTTGGATCTAATTTTATACAAAGTAGCCACCATATTGTTATTTATTATCTCCAGGAAAATACATGTATGGCTCAATGAGCCAACCAATATTGGATTCTGTCCTCTGTATGGTATGAAACAAGGATTGATTGAATATTTATTCAGAGTACACTGCAGGATGGCGTGTACCAAATATTTTATTTACAAAAACACCACACATGGGTACATATATTAATAATTTTGTACAGTTTTTAACTATTATAATATTTATAAGTGGCATAATTTTGAAGGAAATTGACTTTTTATCTATTGTTTAGTTGCTTTATTCAACAAGACATTTCTTAGTTTTATCATTACATGATGTACAATGACAGATAGTTTGACATCTGTTTTATTCCAGTGTAATAAAGTACTAGAAAGATGAGATGAGATCCCTGATGATCTATCTTTGGTTGTCTTGATTAACTCAAATTGCGACAACAATACAGCGGCAATAGTTTTATATATTTGATGTTACTTTTACTATAAATAAATATTTTTCATCGAGAAAACATTTTTTTTTGTCAAACATATATTAGAAGTGATTGTTATTTTATCGAAAGGTTTTCTTGTGTAAGCAGGTAATTTCAACTGAGTGGATTATTTTAGTTGGAATTTTTTGTTTTGTAAAATAATTTTATTTAATATTTGAACATGTGGGAAAAATCTAACTTGGGTGGCTTTGTATTTTATTCATTAGTCCCAGTGATGGAATAAGTTGCAGATGGACATTTTATAAAATGTTGATAAATGATTTTTTTGTATGTTGAATGAAAATACCACATGATTTAGGACCTATAGCTTTCTAATGATGAGCACATGTGTAACAAAATACAGCTGTATTGTAAGTGCAATATAGAATCTAATGACAATTCATTATCAGTGACTCATTTACATTATCTAATGACAAGAAACTTTCAAAACTGGATTGCTGGTTGTGAAGGTTAGCAAAATGGTCTTTAAGTGGTAGAGTTTATTAATAATTTAAATGAATTATTCATAATTTAATTACAATATATATCAGTAAATGACTAATCATTGATTTATTTTTATTATTAATTATTATTTGTGTAATGATACTTAACCAATAACCATGAATGAAGTTTTTAGTATTTAATGGTCACTTGTTTTTATGATTCTTTGTTTTGAATGATTAGTTCAATGACAGTCATATAGTCCATGTTGTTGGTTATTGAACTGTCGTTTACATCCATCCAGTCAACTACACAACTTTCAACATACCTGGCCATTTTAACGATTTGCTAGTTTATATAATCGATTAGAAATAATGTAAATTACATTGAAACACCATTTGACTAATTTCTTGGCTCGCTATTTAATAATGATTTAATCATTCCATTCATATGTGATTTCTGTCATGATTGCATCACTATTTGATTAATTTATTTGCAATTCATTTCATTGATTTATTTTGATAATTATTTTGCTATTCAGTAAATATTTGATCTTTTCCTGGTTTGCAGCATCATTGTGACTCAATCCATAGTTCATTTTACTCGTATACTATCCTGGCCTGAATGGATGTGTTGCTGATTGCTGTGTTATTTTCATGTTTAGTCTGATGTTTAACTCCATAATAGTAAGTTTACCCAATGCTGCAATTATCAATCAACAATAAAATATGTGCCAATAATGTCAATCATGATTCTAATTATTTTATATTTATTACTATCAGCTTCATAATGTTATAAAACTCTTCACCTGTATCACCGTATCTGTGAGTTTCTATACCCAGTACTAGCGTGGCAAGGGCCAAATAGGTCCTAGCATTTATACAAAGAAACATACAAAAGATACTGTTACTGCACAACTGAATGCACAACACTTAAAGTAAAAAAGTTACTTTAAACCTGAAATATAGATTCATGGACAGTATTGTTTTGATATATTTGTAATACATGTAAATTGAGGTTTTCTGTTTGACAGAGGAAAATGTCTATTGATGTGTTGGTATGTTTATTATTGGTACGTATGTCATGTTATAATAGAACTGAGCTATTACAAGCTAGTGTAATGTCTTGATACAAGGTCTGTAGAATGAGCTTGTCACAGTGTAAGACCTGCTCATCGCAATTGAGAGGGCCACCCACAGAACTCACAACTTTGCATTGGCAGATTAGATACAGTGATGCCAACCGATTGTAACTCCAGGAAATATCAGACCCTGTTTTTTCATTTATATTTGTATACTTGTTTTTTTACTACAGTAAGATAGTGATGTAATATTACGCAATATTTATTTTTCAGTAAAATGAGTTTGTTTTCCTCTGTATACTGATGTCACAATATTTTATATTATATTTTAAATCTTGAAGTAGAAATTTATTTTATTAGTAGTGAAATAAATTCTTGATACATTTTTATGGGGGAGTACTGTTTACATTGATATACTTATTTGGGCAGTAATACTTATCACTAACAAGTTAAAATGTTGAAGGACATTATTAGTTTCTCCATTTTGCCAAAGATAAAAATAAAATTGCTGTTTACACTGATGAAAGAGATTATTATGTAGTAGACTAGTTTTATCTCGGTTTTACCTTGTGTATCAATTACTGGGGTCTTCTTACCTCTGACAGTTTGGTACATGTGACTCCTTGAATGTGTGCTCCTAAATTCCTGTGACCCCTTAACTATGTGTTCCTAAATTAATGTGACTCCTTAACTTTGTGTTCCTAAATTACTGTGACTTCTTAACTTTGTGTTCCTAAATTACTGTGACCTTATATCTTTGTGTTTCCAATGTAGTATTAATTAGGTGGGCTTTCCTTTGATATTGGTAATCATGTTATTAGGCTTAACCTAATGTCCAGGTTTATCTTTCAAACCCACAATTAGCAAACAGAATTGTCATGGTTCTGAGATATTTTGTGAGTAAATATGATTTAGTTTATTAAAGAATTGTGTATGTCTGTAATATGTAGTCATTTTGGGGAATCGTGACTTTTATATAAATTGTATATAAATATGGATTTTGTACATATATTAGGAAAATTTAATCTTTTTAAATTATGAAAAGTAGTAAAATGAATTTATGAGAGTATTATTTGAAGGATAAGAGCACTGTAATACTAGCAAGATTTGTTTTTTCCACTGAAAATTATTTTTGTTATTTCATCCCATTTTTTTTATGTAAAATATGGCCTATATGCTTATGTAAAATACTTTATTTTCGCTGGAATTAATTTTCACTGAAAAGGCTTTTTGGGTGTTTTGTATGGAATTTATTTTCACTGATTTCTGATGAGCTGAATGTAAAATATAGGGAAAAAATGTATATTCGCTGGATTTTATATCGAAAATTAATTCCAAACAAAAATAAAGTATATTACAGTATGTGTCATACATGTATATGTGCTCAGTTGTAGTACTATTTTGCAATGTGCTATCTTCAACTCTCACATTTTAAACTCTGCAGACAGGTTGATTGGTGTGACAAAAGATCTCGCTAACCGTTACCAGAGGATAGTTTTATTTTTAAAAGTGTAGTATCAGATTGTATTTCTGTTGAAATTCTGAAAGATGCTTTGATGAACTGTATATATGTCTACAGAGTGAGTTTATCAACTGATGCTTATTTTTTTTAAATATTAAATTAATCCATATATTGTCTATGAATATAAACCTGTCAAAGTTAGACCTTTTTTGTAATCTTATGGTACATCAGTTATTTTAGTCATATACATTTATTTTTGTGTTCATTGGTTTGTTATCTTTGAGCCACTGTAATTATCTATTTCATTTTACTGGGAAACATGGAAATTTGTAAGTGTAATTATTAGAATGGAAATAAAATATGCCAAATGGTTTTACATGAAATGCTTTTGTTTTGTTTTGTATGATAGTGCTCTGAACTCTGTTTGCTTCATGCTGCCATAGTAGTGGTGTATCGTCATACAAGACGTTTTACTTAAAGAAAAAGCTCCAAAAGAAACATTAACAGTTTTGGCTCTGACATGATTACAAAATGTATTATATGTGCATTGAAAATATCATGGTTTGCCATAATTTTGACATAATTTTTTAGCGTTTGCATTTAATAGACCTTAGGAGGGGAGGGGAAGCATAAAGCCAAAAAATGACTACAGAAAAGGCTGCAGGAAGGAGGGAAATCTATGCTGCTAAAGATAGTAAATAAAAGCAAAGCTGTGGAGTACTTACTCGATAAACACCCTTATAAGATAGGAAAAGAGGATTTGAATCTAGGCGGTTTGAACTCTTTGAAAACTAAGTTGGATTTAAAATATCTTTCATATCTTATAAGACCAGGAAAGCTTTACACCCGAAGTACAGTCTGTGCTTATGAAAACAAAGGAAACTTTGATTTTTGCTTAAATTTGTGTTGGATTTTGGTATTTTACAGAGCAAAATATGCATATTTAAAAGTTAAAAAAACAAAAAAACTATTTATTTATTTTGTCATCATTTATTTTAATTTATATATCAGCATTTTCACAAATTTAACTTTTTTGATTTGCTGAACAAAAACTGTCACTGCTCTTTGTACTAATTGCTGTGTTGTCTTTCCGTCTCCTGTTATAATTGGATAAATCCAGTAAATATCTTATACAATAGTGACTTCAGACTTTAACTAAAATAATCTGATATCAGCAGCACATGGACTTGGGATGTGTTTAAAACTTAACTGTATAATTGGGGTTCTAGCCGCATTGCATAATCTGTTATTTATTTGGCAACTTTAACCTCAAAATATTTAGCCTATAACATTTCTCGCATCAACACATTTATAGGTAATAGTTATTATTAAGAACACATTTGTACGATTAACTTTTTTATCGTTTGTTCTGAAATAAAATTTGTAAAAATTTATGCATGAGCGCGTGTGTGAATTCTGGAAAACATGATATCAAAAACAGGGTGACCCCCCCCCCTATTCGCACAATCAAAAACAGGATAACCTGCCCTACTGATCCACCGACCCCCCCCCCTAGGCCGAAGTAACTGACCAATCCCTTGGTATAGATTAATGGACTTAATAAAAATACGAGACATAGATGATCCATTCGTTGGGGGCGCTGTCACCCTGTCTGATCTGTCGAATATTTCATATCTTGAGATTTCCCAAGAGATAAAAACTAAATTTATATTTGTGTTTTTTTTTTTTCAGTGTCTATCGATACTTGTATACCTATATAACTAATTCTCACGAGCAGCATTTGACATAAATGTGCCGCACATCGGGATGGTATTTTACTTAGTTATAAGTGTACTGTGCCCACGAGAAACGGCTACTACATGTATAATATATTGCAGTATGAGAAACTATTTTGCTAATGATGTAGCTATATTGCATACAATGTAGCCATATTTCCTGTGGCAACACTTTGAGTAATGTAGCTGTTTTGTAATAATATGAAATCAATCAGTATTTCTCTCCAGGGGAGACCTGGCACCCATGCTGAAG